TAAAGGTGGGATTTAGTAAGAATATCATATTAGACAAATCTTGTTGAGAGATTTTCCCTCTCCAGAGCTGAACTATTAATGGGGCTATTAGAACTAGCCCAGGGGTACTTTGTACAGAGGTGTTCCTTGATTTATATTATTTTGCCCAAACAGGTATTTTCTGAATGTTTAACTTTTGAAAGGAAAAACCAAAACTCTGACTTCTTGACATCATCTTTTAAAAATAACATTTTCTTTAAGAAAGCCATATAGGTTTCTTAACATGACCCACTCCCCAATGAGGAATGTTTAATTCCCCTTCCCTGAATCATTAAAAGAAAAATGCCTGCCATGATATAGGGAAAAACAGTTGGTTTCAGTGTTTTCAGTAATTCATAACAAACTTTGACAGCCCAAATATTTAAATATTTTTAAAATTTATTTTTAGGAATGAATCATCTGAAAATACGGATTTTCTTTATTTATACTGTTGATTAATCAAAGAGCCAAAAAATCTTGTTCAAAGGGAAAAGAGGGCATTTATTAGCTTGGAAGAGGTTGGGATTTTTCCAAGGATCATGGCAAACATACTTTATTGAAAACTTCTTTAAATCAGTTGGGATTAGAGTCAAAGGACTAGCCTGGTTGAATTTATGCAGCAAGAGCCCTAGCAAGATTAGGCAAGAAGAGCTACTTAGGACCACCTCGAAAGGAGTTTGTAGCCTTAGCAGGGAATTTAGAATTTCCTGGCTTCCTTTCAAAGAAGAGATTCAGTGTTTGTGCAAGTGGAGTGAAAGAAAGAGCATCATCAATATTGTTTACGCATGAACAATGAAAATGGTTTAACTGAGCAAATTATGCAAAACCTATTACTTGATCATTCACAGATACATAAGGCATGACTACCTACAAAACAATGTCAGACTATTTTCCTCATAGATAGATTCCTTTCAAGTCCTGGGCAGGTCAGAGTTGTTCAAAAGTTCTACAACAATGGGAAGTTAACTGGAAAATGCCCACATTTGTTTTTCTGTTTCCTTAATGGAACTGAAAATTTCATATCGGCATATTTCATTAAAACACCAACAGATTCAAAGAATGTGCTATATTTCCCAGTCTATTATAGCTGCCATTCCAAACAAAATATGTATGACTCTGTGATTCACCAAGCGGAAGTATATAGTAATTTGCCCCTTAATGGCCTCTCAAAATGACAGACCAAATGGCTTTGTGAAGGTCAAGTCTGATTTAAACTGTTGATGAATTAGTAGCTAATTCTGCATGATTGAATATTAATATGGAACAGTGATAAGGCACTTTAAAGCTTAATGAGCACATTAATGAATAGGACAAAATGTTTTTCTTTTCACCTCATGTAAAAGTTTAAAGCTACTAGCATATTGACAGATTGTTAATTTTTGCTAGCTGCTTTTTCCTGAGAAAGTTTGTGTGGTTAAGATATTAAAGATATTGATTGGATTCCCAAGTTCCTGGCACCACACATTTGAGGAGCTGTCAAAATTGATGTTATCAAATGGCTGAGGCAGTTTTATATAAATCACTAATAAATGTAGAAGGTAAAGAAAAAAGCAATTAACATTTTCTAAACTACACCCACTGAGATAAGCATTCCAATTAGAAATTTCATTATTTCTACCGTTTGTTTTATGTCGAATACTGAGTTTTATTGCCAAATACCTGACGGTCAAATTGGAAACAAGCCACAACTGTCAATGTGTAATGGCTCTGGCTATTTGAATCTGTTACATTGTGATGTTTCTCATGAAAATTTAATGAAGAAAGTGCATTCAAAGAGATTCTGTGCAAAAGGAGGATGGATAGAATTTAATTACCCTTATTAAAAATAAGAAAGGAATGCTCTTTACATTCTCTGTCCCATTAGTATGCAAGAAGGATTATCTTTATTGTGCACTCGTGTATATGAAAAGGGGGCTCTGGAGTGTTCTTTATGAGCCAAGAAGGGAAAGAAAGGTCATGCAAATGTATTAGACTGATTTTCAGGAGGGCACAAGTCAATTTTGTCAGCTATCCCCAAGGTGAGGACTTCATTTCTTATAAATGGTTATTAAATCTAGATTTCTTTGGTAAGAGCCTTTAATAAGTGACTCAACAATCTTAAGCCTTTGGCACTTGCCACTGATCAGCACTGAATATTGGCTCAGTTGTTCTGAGAGATGAACTTATAGAAGAAAACTAATTACTAGCAGAGCAATATTTATGCGGGGAAATGTAACTAGCACTTAAACACCGTGGGAGAGATACAGTGTCCTAGGACATACAGAAACCACCCACGAATCCCGAGGTGATTTTTGATTAACCTAAGTTGGTTGTTTTAAAAATGGAACCTAACAACAACAAAATCTAAGAGCTTTTTCAGAAACTCATTTCTATGTAGGCAGTATAGTTGACTTTGGAGCACTTGAGGTAAATTACTTTTATCCTTTGAAGTACTTTGTGTCAATAGCTGCCAAGTGAGGTATTTAATAATATAATGTGTGTGGTATAGCAGCTATTGATCTTTCTGCTCTTTTTTCTCCCCAGACAACATCAGAACTATGTTGTAGATGTAAATATATTGGCAAAACCTTTAAAGACATAAACAACATCCTGATGAAATACAAGTGGAATAGATTATTAAAACCGGCATAGCCTAATTTGCATCCCACTTTTAATTTTTAACTTTCTCTTGGAGCCTTGAAAAATCATCTTGAAATTCAGTTTTTAACTACTGTTTGTGACACACGTCCACTGTAGACTTCTGCTTGGCTAATGATATGTAAACATTCACAAAAGCAATGTATTACTGCTTCCACAACAAAGCCATGTCTTCCAACTTAAGTAAAATTTAGCTAATTGCAGTAAATTATTTGTATAAATGTCTTTAGTACCCAGCCATAACTACCTGGTCTCATAGGACAGTATTCTGTCATGAATCAGGTGTTAAATCAAACTTGGCTCAGCTTCTTTTGGCCCTTCACAGACTATGTTAGTAAAAGATACAGACCCTCTGTCCTGCCCAGCGGGAGAGCCAGAGTCTACACTTTTCCTTAATAGTCCATCAGTTTTATTCCACAATAACCATACCTGTTGTTCACTGAACTTTTTCTTTCTTGGGAGCTTTAATCTTTGGTGGCATCTTATATTCTTTCACCATTCGCATTCAAAATCTCTCTGGGTTCTTAACTATTCCTTTGGTTGCCTCTCTACCAGAAGTTCTGCATAGAAGGAGATTTTTGTTTTTAATAGTCTCCGAGATATATTTATACTTAAGCTTGGGAATGACTGGAGTTTATCTTAAAACCTGGAAACTCAGGCTAGTATGATGGCAAGGGGACAGAATACAGATGAGTCCTGCAGGAACTCCTGGTGTGGAGGGATAAACGCGTGAGTTAATAAGTACGAGACGGTGGATTTGGGTAGCTGCTGCTGTGGTAGCTCTGAGGAGGAAAGGTGAAATGAGTTTGAGAGAATTTGGAAAAGATTTACAAGGAAGGTGACTTTGGCTTCGTGGCTTCCTAGAGGCACAGAATACAACAGACATGATTTGTCTGGGAAGTGGTGAGAATTTCAATGTAAGCACAGGGAAAAGTTCCTATGAGAGAGGTGATCTCTAAGAGGCTGAGAAAAATGAGACCTGACTGAAAAGGACTTTGCTAGCCAGGTTTAGGAGACCGAGTTTACCCCTCGGCTTCAGAGGGAGAGAGGTGGAGAACACATGCTGTTGACTGAGAACACAGTGCAGGCGTCAAAATGGAGCTTCTTCATTAGAAATTGTAACATAACCTCGGTAAGATTCACGATCAACTGTGGATTCATGGATTATACTGGAGCTTGTAGGAAGCATCCAAGGAGAAGCAGTATGCCAGATCTAATGATTTAAATGTTTTGCTCACTGGTGTTTATGCTTTTGAGTAAATACAGAATTGGTGGCTTATGAAAATTTATCAGTGGTCATAAGGGAATATTGATTAAATCAATGCCAGACTCAATGGAAAGTAAAAATGTTTCATGATCTTCAAACAAATGGCCATGTTCTAATTTGGATAATTGCCACACATCTCACTAAAATTCCTTCAATGCCTAGATAGAACATACTTTTCTAATCCTGGCTAGAAGAGCTGGCAATGTCAGTTATCCGTGTGGGGCATGATTGTGGGATTTAAGTGGACTTTAATTTCTTAATAGCGGGGATCTGGAACAGTTTCAATGTGGGCAGCAAGAAGTGAACTTTGGATGAGTTGGAGATTCAAATTTAGGGAATTAAAGTTTTTAATTACTGAAAATGGTGCAGGTCTTTGGGATGGAGGAAAGCATTCTCTTTTCCCTGTAAGGAACACGTGCTTTTGTGCCATTAATATGGAATAGTGCTTTTGCTCTTCTTTTGTAAAGCATCCTCAAACAATTTTCTGGTTAATTGAAACTCCTTACAAAGTAATCAATTTGGGTTGAACCTTATGCTTGTGTGGAAAAACATGGAGTTATAAGAAAAATATATCAGCTTCTAAACAGATAGCTTGACCATCTTCTGCTTGTTCCCCATGTGCTCTCCAAGCTGGCACTGCTGGCTTCCATGCTGCTCTCTCAGCGAAACCTTTCAGCCTATACTTGTGACATTCCTGAATCTTTCTAAAATCTCCTGCTCCCTTTTTTGTGACGTGGCCGATTTTGCTCTTTCCTAAATGCCAATTTTAAATCAGATCTTCTTCTGGGTACTCACGGATCTCAGGCACAAATGCTGTGATTCTTTCTCCCTCTTTGCTGTTGAAAAACTCGCTGCAACCCCTCATCATAGCCAGCCCCTTCTGAGCTCCGTGTTAGTATATTGGCCTCTTATGTAGACTGTGACAGCATTGTGACTGTGTTCTAATTCATTAGTGCCTGGTTTGTGTTAAGTTCTCAAGCAAGCGCTGAATAAGGTAAAGAGAGAGATTTCTGGACAGCCTTGAATTTGGGGCATCTGACTTACTAACTGAATGTTTCTATCGCCTTTTGTTTTGCAGAAGATCAGATTCCCAGGGGCTTCCCTACCATTGACATGGGCCCACAGTTGAAGGTGGTTGAACGTACGCGCACGGCCACCATGCTTTGTGCAGCCAGTGGCAATCCGGATCCAGAAATCACTTGGTTTAAAGATTTCTTACCCGTGGACACAAGCAACAACAATGGTCGTATTAAGCAGTTACGATCAGGTAGGGTCTTGTTACTGTTTCTACTAACTCCTAGATAACTTTTTAAAAAATTTTTCTCTCTCTTTATTTTTATTTTTAATTTTATTTATTTTTAATTTCTAGGTACTGATTTTTCTCCCTCTTCTCTTTCTCTGTTACTTAATGGGTGGTCCATGTTTGTGATGTCATAGACTGTTTCAGAGTCTGTCTTTCTCCTTTTTCTGTGTGTTTTGCAGCTTCTGTTTAATCCACATTGCTCACTGCTGTGACTGTATTTTTGATAATTTTTTAAGTTACTGCTTTTTTGCAGTATTTGATGAATCCATTTTCTCCTCTTTCTTTCTTCTTTCTCTGCTTTCTTTTGAAACAAATTTATTTCAACATTGGACTTCATTCAGAACTTGCAAGGAGTTCCAATGGTTGTATCCATTAGAAAACAAAATATTCATATTAAACACTAAATGATTCAATTTTATTTAAGTATGTTTTCTGCTGTCTTTTCTACCTTTGAACTCATCAAAGTACCAAAGTTTAGTAAGCCTGGGCACATCTGCTTTCTTGTCACTAATACATAAAACATAGAAATGTTATGTCATGAGTAATCAGATGTATTTTTTAAAAAGTCTTAAATACCAGTGAAAGGAGGGGATTTTTATCAATACTCTGATAATATCATTGTGAGTGGACATTTTCTACACCTTAGCCACAGTAGTGTGCGCCCACACTCAAGGTTTTTGAACCCTCCAGTGACTGGATCTACAGAAGCCTGCTTTTGGTGTAGACTCCAGCTTTTGCTGTTTTCTCTCTCTCTTTGCCCTTTTCTCCTTTTCCCATTCCCATCCCAAGTTGATGCCTTTGCTCTCTTAGATTAAAAGTAGAGATAATTCTAAATTTCTTAAGCTTTAGAGCCTGTCCCTAGGCAACGTCACAGGGACATATACTAATAAGCTGTTTACTTTGACATTGGTAGTAATATTGATATAGAATTCTAAGTTGTTTAACTGCCTGTCTTCCCAGAATTCTCAGCTTTTGACCTGTCCTGTGATGTTAAAGCGTCTTGTTAACTGCCTCTTTTGCTTGTTGTCAGCAGAATTGTGTAGATTAGCATTCTGTTATTGTAAATGAAGAATTAATTATTCACATGTAACATAGATGATTTAGTATATAAAGCTTTAACTCTGAAAAATTTGTACCAAATTATAAGGAATATAATAATATTTTTATGCTGTCTTTCTTCTCTCCGTATTTAAATCTCCAGAATCTATTGGTAAGTGCTTAGTTCTGAAGCGCACTTCAACCCCACTAATTTCCATATCCAGAATATTATTATTAATAATAAAATGCATGGCATGCATTTTACTAACTGTCAGTGTAGACACCAGACCTCTGTAGTGGCGCCCACACACGCCTCCACAGAACTGTTATCGTGAGAACACTGTGTAGAAAAATTAAATAGTACACAAGCTATAGCACACCAATGTAGCATAGCAAGTAGTATAAGATATCCAATCAACAGTGTTTGTTTCCAGATAGTCTTTAGAGTTTCCTATCACAGTATATATATATATGCATATCTATATATATACTTAAATAGATTAGCCAGTGTTTTCCTAAACTATGTCTTTAAAAATATTGTATAGTTCCTTTTAAGAGATACGAGGCATATAAGATATATTTCTAACCCTATATGACCCCAGATCTGAGAACTCAATTGCTTCTCTGAGAAAGGCAATGCTGCCTATTGCGGTCTTTACCCTCTGCGGTATAATGCAACTTGCTTTTTATGATCTAATAATACTATCTAATATATTCCTGTTTTACCAGTGTAGTAATTCAAGTTTCTTTTAAGACCTTATTTAATTCTGTAAATCTAATTTAATTCTTCTCCCCAGCCCTAGCCTCCTTCTTCTCGTACTAATGCTTCTTCTTTCTAATCTTATTTGCATTCATATTATCCACCCAGGTGGTACACCAATAAGAGGTAAGAGTGCTGAACTAACGTTCACAGAATGATCTTACTCATTCCTTCTGTCCTTTCATCCCTCTCATCTTTGTCCTGTTTTCAGCATCGTTCCGATAATGTCCATCAACTTTGTATTTTTAGTTTCCTCTTTGTACTGTTTGGTTATGACCAGTGACTCTCATCTTGTGACCTTTCCTTTCCTTTTTCTTTTTCTCTTTGTTTTGTTCATTTCTTTCTTTATGAAAACAATTATTTAAGTTGTGATATGCTTCAAAGAAAGCATATCGAGGTCGTCAGACCACAGACCAGTCACAGCGTACCATCTGTCCCTCTTTTTTTCCTTTTCTTCTTCTTCCTTTTTCCTTTTTCTTTTTTTTTTTTCTTCTTTTTCCTTTTTTTTTGTCCAACCGGAGAAAAAAAAAGATCATTTTTTTTCTTCCTTAGCTGTTCTTGTTCTGGACCTAAGCCAAGGTGGTCTGGAGAACAGTGGCAGACATGCAGAAGACACCCCGGAACATCTGCTTTTTGTCTTTATCTTTCAAAAGGTTTTTGCTTTTGTTCTTCAATTCTTTTTTCTCTTAATGTCTTAAAAGTCAAAGAATGACTCCCCTTTCCACCTGATCCCACTCGTCTACAATCTGACAGCAATGCTTTTTTCCCCACTTCTTTTTTTCTTGGATTACTCGTCTCCGGATTTTTGGATCTTCTGTCCTTCAGGCTATGGAAACAAAAGGTGCTCAGTATTCTTGGTGGTATGTGGTATTGCTGGTTTTTCATACTTTGACTCAGTGTGCATTTCTTTTGTAATTCTTGTTTTGTATTTTTCTTGGGGTTTTGTGACACCACACTGCTAATCCCACTGGTGGATTTTGATGGGTGTCTTAGGGGATCCGTCTCAGGGTCCTCAAGCAGTGGTTGGTTGGCTCTTCCTTGTGGCACGGGCCGTGCCTTTTAACTTTTTAAAAACCTTCTAATTCAACTACTCTTTGTTTTTCAGCAAACGTAATCAATGATTGTAAGTCGTGGAAAACTGTCTTTCTTTTCTTAAAAATCTGCATGTCTTAAGGGAGTTTTGTTTCTTTAAGTGATATTTTGATAATTTATAATGACTAATTTTAATTTTTTTGCTTTGTGCAGCCTTTTTGTGCTTGCTGCGTATTTTTGGCTTTCTTCAGCAGAAGACTTTCTTGAAAACCCAGCCTGGTTTTTTTTGAGCGTACCTATCTTTTGCGCCACTTTTGATACCAAATGAAACAAAACAAAACCAAAAATTAATCTTTTGTTTTATTTAAAAGCCATACTTCCTTGAAGCAGTCTCACCCATCTTCATTTTATTAGTCTAGGAAATAAGAGTGTTAATTATGACTAGAAGTCTTGCTTGGGAAAAGAGATATTTTTTCTAATGCTAGCATTGATGATGTAAAAAAAATAATCTCTATATGTTTTTCTCATCGCATCATTTTCTGTCTGTGCAACTTAGCAAGAGATTGAATCGACGTTGAGCGGACCTTCGCTTTGCAGGGCTTTTCATATTGTTAAGAGGTTTAGCTTTCTGAACTGAGAAAGCCTTCTCTGATCATCTCTTTGGCAATATATTTTATATCCATACAGGAGCCCTTCAGATTGAGCAGAGTGAAGAGTCTGACCAAGGAAAATATGAGTGTGTTGCCACCAACAGCGCGGGCACTCGCTATTCCGCTCCTGCCAATTTATATGTCAGAGGTAGGAATGACATAACCTTGGCATTGCTTTTTCATTCAGGCTCAGGGGGAGTGAGATGCCGCAGGGTCTATGGTGTTACATCAGTAGTTAACAAGCTGATTTGATAACAGTGACAGTAGCTGAAACATTTTAGTAAATATAGAGAAGTAAACATTTTCAAATATGTTGTTTAACCCCAAAAGACCACTCTTGAGTATAATCTATCCCGAGGCTTGAAGTTTGTAAGTATATTTGCATTTTTACATCTCGGTTTCTGTTTTTACTGCATCGATTGAACTGTGCTTTGCATTTGTTTGAGGTTTTCTTCTTTTTCTTTCTCTTTTTTTCTGTTGTTTCTCTTCTGTTTCCTTATTAAACCCCTGAAATAATTGCTTGGTGTGCTACTAATCAGTTTTCTGTGCAATTCCAAGCATAAAGGTGTTTATGTCTTCATGACCCCTGCTGCTGAAACTGTAAGGATAAAGCTGCTAACTCTATAAACAGGTGCTACATGCAAATAGCACAGTTGTATTTTGTTCTTTGCATATTTTCTTAATTATAAACACATGGTATATATACATGTGTATTCATACATATGCACATAGGTACACCTTTTTGTTTGAATTATTAAGACTTACCGAAATGTTTAGTTTTGTGATTGTCAAAGAAAACTGTATTTTAAAGAGTAACGTGAGTTGTCCTTGAGACAAGAATGAATTATGAGGATACGTTCAGATGTTTTCATGAAGTAACAGAAATGATTAAATTTTGAGCTTATGAATGGCTGTGCCTTTCCATTCGACTAGAAAGAAGTACTTCCTCTTTCCCAGAGTTCTCAGCCAGTTCCTGTAGTTTTTTTTTTTTTTTTTTTTTTTTTTTTTTGTCCTTTGGGAATGTTCTTACTCCTGGTCTACATATCTGTGAATAACCACAAAAGGCATGGGTGGGGGTGGGATTAAAGAAAAGACTGAGAGGGCTTTAAGTTACAATAGGATGAGTTCCCTTAAGAAAATACCTAGCTTGATTTTGAAATTTTTGTTAGAGGTAATTTTGTTTCCCTGGGGATGTTTTTCTCTCCTTTCTTTCTGTGGAGTCTGGGGTGGGGAAATATGAAGAAAGCCATTTCTTCTCTAAATTCTTTGAAAGTCCCTTGACCCTTTTTCCACAATAGTGACCTCCTTTGCTGCATGAGGCATGTGTACCTTCTTCCATGGAAAATTTCAAAATGATGCTAGCTATTGTTTCTAATACCATGTTAGTTCGTGAGATATTGCTAACTTTTCCAGCTGGGGTAGGAAGGATGAACTAGAACAAATAAGATGTTCAAGTAGCAGTTGAAAGCCTTGATATGGCCTTTTTACTCTCTCTGTGTTTCCCTTGTTTTTCTCCTTTCCTCATTTCATTGTGTTCTGCATCAAACCCCCTACATCCCTCAGAGCTGCGAGAAGGTTGGTGTGTTTTTTACTTTTTACCCACCTTACAAAACTATTAATTAAACCCATAACAAAGAATACAAATGAAATGAATGTAGCTGCATTGTGTTCTTCTTTTGGTTAATGGTATGTTTTAGCAGAGAATGCCCTGGCCATGGCTTCCAGTGCTTGCTGGTGGTATCTAACTGTGGTGCATGTTGGGAGAGAATGTACCTGGGTGCATGGGAACTGATAACACTTAACTCTCTAAGGTCCAGTGAACTTGGTCAGTGTTCCTGCTTTCCTTCCTGCTTCACTCTTCCCATCTCCCACCCCACCTTTAATTTCTGTCTTAGAAGGATGCCTGCTGCCCATAGAATGACTTTTTATAGTTTTTCCCCTAATCCCAAGCATGAAGACTAAACTCTCCTCTATTGTTCTTGATATGTTCTTTGAAACCTCAGAGTCTACACTGGCTCCTGCTTGCTTTGTGTAACCTCTGTGAATTGGCTGCAGGAGGCATGCTTAGCTTTCTCTTCTTCTCCTATGACTGTCATTCACCCATGAGGCCATTGCAGTGAGCCATCTCAAATCAGCAGAGGCTTATCTCAACCTTAAGTGCAGCCAAAAAGCTTTCAGACAGAATTACTTATCTTTTTCTTGGGGTTATGAGGTTGTTTATCAGTTTATTTATAATTTTTAAATCACTTTATTAAATGTATTTAAGGTATGCTACTAAAGATTACCCTGTAGAGCTCAAATTCTTATGGTATGACCTTTTGCCAATAAAAGCCCAAGATGAAGCCAATTTATCTCTCACCTTCTCCTTGTATCACGCCCAAAACACATTTACTTAAACACACATAAACCTGCAGATTATCTGAAGCAGGAACACTGAACTGTAATTGCTTGGTAATTCTTCTGTGTTATGTTGCTTTAATATGGTCTCTTCTCTTAATGTCATGTCCCATTGTATGTTTTAGATCCAATGTCCCTCCATTTGAATGTGGGCATAAAAAGCCTTTTAAAAGATTTATTGTCATTTATGTTGTTTTACCTTATGTATGAATTGAATGGAATCCTGTATGTGAAATACCCAGCTCCTTTCCTGAATTTGTAATCCTTACCTTTAACAACTTGAGCTTAATCTAATATCTTTCAACCCTATCATCCCCTAAGTCCATGTGTTTCAATCATTATGCTTTATCTCCCCCTTTCGTGTTTAGTTCTATTGCCCCATTATTTCTTCGGCTGTCATTGCTTTCTTGGATTCTAGCCATACTCTCAATATCCTTAGCATGGGCCTTGAGATTCCATCTTATGCATGCCTTGCATGACCCAATCCAGTATCTCTACTGGTGTTAGCCTGTTTCTTCTTCTGTAACTGTAAATCAATATGTATATACATTTCTGTGTTTGTTCCAGTGTTAGTGTGAGGTCTTGAGGCTGCATCCACTGTGAATCTGAAAACAAAGTGCACTTGCAGTGTACTCTAGGTGATGTTTTCCAGGGCTGGGATGTGACAGTGTGGTCCCACACCTACATTCACATCAACTGGAAGTGCACAGCACTGAAGTCGGTTGTGATACTCAACTCAAACATGCTGATGACCTTCCAGCCCCCTTTTCTGCATATACATGCATGCATAGAATCATTGTTATATGCATGTATGTATATGTTTTTGTGTTTATCTTATGCATGATGTTTGTGTATTGTTAGTTTGTAGATAGTTTTTGTGGGGCCCTTGTAGGTCTGAGTCAATTTTTGTATGAGTGTGTCTAAGATATCAATGACTAAACTAAATAAATAATTCTGTGTATACACACACCATACTTGTATGGTCTGTATTATCCACAGTTTTTCTTTATGTTTTGTTTTTGGACAATCCACAATATGTTTCAGTTGTTGAATCGTGTCTGTACGGTGCATGTCATGTGTTTGATAGTCCACTTTTTCTTGCCTTGTATATGTTACCATTTTCCCTTGTGTTTTGTTCCAGTTCGCCGTGTCCCACCAAGATTCTCTATCCCACCCACTAACCATGAAATCATGCCAGGTGGAAGCGTTAATATCACCTGTGTGGCCGTGGGGTCACCAATGCCTTATGTAAAGTGGATGTTGGGGGCAGAAGATCTGACACCTGAAGATGATATGCCAATAGGAAGAAATGTGCTAGAACTGAATGATGTAAGACAGTCAGCAAATTACACCTGTGTTGCCATGTCGACACTAGGTGTCATTGAAGCAATAGCACAGATCACTGTCAAAGGTATGCTCAATGGATCGTGCTTTAAGGATCTGGGTACACTCAAGCTAAGTGACTAATGCCTCTGGAAAGCCCATCCTTGAAAATCTAAAATAAGTCATTATTCAGTGTTTTAAATGTATGCATAACCTAAGCATATCTGTGGTGATATATAAGATATGGAAGTCCAAATAGGCAGATATTTTCTTTAAATTATCTGGCAGCCTATGTACAGATAATCCTCAAAATATTAAAAGACAGTCCCTGGAGGCCCAGACACTAACCAGACAGAACTGGGAATTTTAGACATGGCCGACTGTTAGGGTGGGACTGATGTGTACAGTCTACATACTTCCCCAGGGTCTTGGTAAGAATCCCAAGAAAAATCAAGATGAGCACTAATACATGCTTTAAATTTCTAGATATAAACTAAAAAGAAGAAGAAAAGTTGAAATCAACACAGTCTAATAATAGATGATTAAAGTTTTTGGTAGGCCCTACTATTAAAAATCAAAATGTAAGCAGTATTACATTCTGTTTTAGTTTTATCTTTCACCTTGTATAGATGAGTGCTCAAGAAACGTTCTTTTAAGAAACACACTAAATGTAACCGAAGTACTATATTACACGAGTTATTTTTGAACCGAAGAGAAAAAGAATACAAGCGTGTGAGGATACCAGTTTTTGTTTTTGTTTTTACCCAGTGTTTATAGAATGCTAGAAAGTGTTTGCAAATTGAGTCAGACATAGGGCAACTTAAATTTTCTGCAAATGACCAGAACTATTGCAAAATGAACGCAAATTGTCTTCCTTTTCTAGACAACGTTCTAGGCATTCGAAATTCAGCAGTAAGTCAGAAGTACACGTTTGCTACTCCTGAAAAGCTGCCATTCTAGGCGGTGATCTTAGAAAATGCAATACACGTTATAATTGGTACTGTATCTCTAACCCAAGCATATATATCACATATATGCCAAAAAACTAATAACATGACACGAGAGCAAAGGTACACATTGTCAATATTTATAAACATGTGAAATAATGTGTTATGTAACCTCAGTATAATAAGCACACGTGTATTTATCCATACATTGCAGACATAAAATCTGTACTGTAAATGTGACTTAGTGAAATGTGACTTAGTGAAACTAATAATGTCAGCAAAATATCAGCGAGCACAACTTTAATTAGCAGTATTTGTTTTGCCTTGAAAGTTCAGGAAGACAGGTAGGGAAAATCTGAATCACCCACCTCCTTGAAAACTGCCAGACCAGAATATTTAAACAAATTTCATTTGATTATTATTTTCAGTAAATTCCCTTGGCAAAATATTATCTTTCCGTAGTTCTTTGAGTAGTGTGTAAATATTGAATCACCTTTTTTCATAATTACCATTGCAGCTTTAAATATTTGGAGGTTTGCTGAAGACCTTAAAGAATTCAAAAGCAGGGACCACTTAAAACTAATATTTTGTTCACCTTCTCATCTTTGTTTTCCTGACTCTTGCCACTTCCCTATCATTTCCACCTGAAATATAAACAAATCAAACATAAAGGTGAATCTTGAAGGCAAAATAAAATAAAAGAGCAGGTTGAAGGGAGTGAGGAGAATGGGTGACAACTCATTTATTCATTTAACTGTTTAACAATTCTCATTAAAAACCTACCGAGCACCAGGCAGCGTTCTAGGCATTCAAAATTCTACAGTAATTCAGAAGTACAAGTTTGCTGCTCTTGAAAAGCTGCCATTCTAGTGGGTCTTCTATTTCTTGCCTTTATATTGATAGGGAAACAGAGACAGTAATGGGCCCATTATATGAATGTTACCCTTTGGGTTTTCTCTAAAGAGCCAACTATTAAAATTCCCCTTCCTACCCTTGTATCACTGCCATTCAGAATCGTTGTTTAGAGTAAGGCACTTGAATAGGAGGTCACCAAGGAATACAGCTTATATTTTTAATTAATATTATTTTTAGTTGTATTCTTGTGCTAAAAGGAAACAATTAGATCTCTAAAAAGATGGATTTTATTGCAAATATTTGTAATGTAGCTACATCAGATATTTCCGATATGGAATATGGAATGCATATTAATATGACAATATAGGCCGGGCACGGTGACTCACGCCTGTAATCCTAGCACTTTAGAAGGTCGAGGCTGGTGGGTCACGAGGTCAGGAGATGGAGACTATCCTGGCCAACATGGTGAAACCCCTTCTCTACAAAAAATAAGCCTGGCATGGTGGCACGTGCCTGTAGTCCCAGCTACTTGGGAGGCTGAGGCAGGGGAATCACTTGAACCCAGGAGGCGGAGGTTGCAGTGAGCCAAGTTTGCTCCACTGCACTCAGCCTAGTGACAGAGTGACACTCTGTCTCAAAAAATAATAATAATAATAAATAAAATATGGTGAAAAGCTACTATTCCAAGAAGGCTTAAGTACCAAAACAGCCTCTGTGAGAAACCGCATTGNATGATATAATACTTTAAAAAGTGATTGCGAAAGTGCCTTTAGTTCCTGCAGTGTTTTTAAATATTAGGAATAAAACACTGGTTTGAAATTTCTTTTCTTTTTTACCTTAAAATTTTTCATTAGATTATTTATAAGAAAATTTTTAGTAATGGTACTATGTCTTACAACAACATAGATGCCAGTTCTTTCATAGCAATTTAATTCCATTTCAACGTATTCCACATTTTGTTCTTTTCATTGTGTATTGGTATTTCAGTTACAGCATTTATTTATTGGGGCAAGGGGCTAATTGGCCAAGCTTTTAGTGTAAGACTAGTAATAACTGCAACTAATAGTAAGGCTTTTTGTGGTTTCCAGTTATATTCTAATATTCTTAGTGGATTGACTCATTAATCTTCCCAGCAAACCCATGAAATACAGTTACATACAGCTGTACAATACAACTTAAATACTACTGTTTTTCCCATTTTCACATGAGGAAACTAAAACAGAGAGGTTAAGGAATGTGTTCAGGATCACTTAGTTAATCAGTAGAGGATTTCGATACAAGCCTAAAATTATGCTATCAAGCCCTTCTGGCAAAAGCAGGATTTGTCTTACTTATGTATGTTTTACTGTACTTCTTGGCTACTCTGAAGATTATTCTTTGCTGTAATTTTATTTAATTAAATCTGCAGTAGATGCATAATTCTGTCATTGTCATAGTAGAGTTTGTAGATTCTTGAAACATTATAGGGGTAATGGATAGTCACTGTCTTTTATCGTCCCCCACCCAAGCCTTACCCAAACCTCCAGGAACTCCTGTCGTGACCGAGAGCACAGCTACAAGCATCACACTGACGTGGGACTCTGGGAATCCGGAGCCTGTGTCTTACTACATCATTCAGCATAAACCTAAAAACTCCGAGGAACCTTACAAAGAAATTGACGGGGTGGCGACCACACGCTACAGCGTCGCTGGACTAAGTCCCTACTCGGACTATGAATTCAGGGTTGTTGCTGTCAATAACATTGGGCGGGGGCCTCCCAGCGAACCTGTGCAAACACAAACCTCAGAGCAAGCGCCATCCAGTGCCCCGAGGGATGTCCAGGCACGAATGTTGAGTTCGACCACCATTTTGGTACAGTGGAAGGAACCTGAAGAGCCAAATGGACAGATCCAAGGATATAGAGTTTATTATACAATGGATCCCACTCAGCATGTCAACAACTGGATGAAACACAATGTAGCTGACAGCCAAATCACTACTATTGGCAACTTAGTGCCCCAGAAAACATATTCTGTCAAAGTCCTGGCTTTTACCTCAATTGGAGATGGCCCACTTTCAAGTGACATACAAGTCATCACTCAGACCGGAGGTAAGTTTGGTTCAGGATGGGAAGTAGGGGAGGAGGGAAGGGCTGGTGCAAAGAGGTGAGGAGGACCAAAACAAAGAACAAAGATGGTATAAATTTTAATTGTTGAGATTTAGGGCTTCAAAGCAAGAGATGATAGATACCTGAAAAGGAACAAGCATGGACATCTGAAAAAGTAAATAATAATTTTAAGCAAAGCAGTGCCTTTAGCACTTCTTCTTTTAATTTGTATGGGAATGACTTGAAGACTTCTCTGCATGAGATAGAAAAATGTCTCCCGCATGCAATGTTTTGAGAATAGAAAAGCTACACTTCTTTATAATAGCTAGCATGGTACAGTGGTCTCAAAAAAAGTATTTAATTTGTGTAAGATTGGATGGTTCAAGACAAAGTCAAAAAATAAAACTGTTCCAGGGCCTTGGGTACTTAAATGGCTTATATTTGCCAGAAGCTACTGGCTTAAAAATAAATATTCTCTGAATGGCTTTAATTTCTGTTTTTCTTTTTATGGCCTCAGTGGATGAAGAAAGACAGTTACCAGTGTCTCAGATCAAACTCTGGGACCTGATTTGCTAACTTTACTAAGAGCTCTCAGAGATAGCAAACTATTTGTTGAAGGAAAACCTGGCCCTCCCATTGGTTTTATTTTCCTAAGAGGATATCAAACCTCTTTGGTCTTTGATTCAAGGTAATCAGTTTTGTTTTGGGCTAATGTAAAATAACAGGTCTCTAGAATTCTAAAGTTTATTCTTGAGCGATATGCAGTGGCTCATGCCTGTAATGACAGCACTTTCAGGAGGCTGAGGTGGGCAGATCTCTTGAAGTCAGGAGTTCAAGACCAGCCTGGCCAACATGGCGAAACCACCTCTCTACTAAAAATAGAAAGATTAGCTGAGCATGGTAGAAGGTACCTGTAATCCCTGCTACTCAGGTGGCTGAGGCAGCTGAATCACTTGAACCTGGGAGGTGGAGTTTACAATTATCTGAGATTGTGCCACTGCACTCCAGCCTGGGAAATAGACTGACAAGATACCATCTCAAAAAAAAAAAAGTTTATTCTTGAGCATCTGAAAGCTATTCCTTTGACTTCTCATTGCGTTGGCATCTTTTAAACCTCCATTAATCTACTAATGTTTTGGCAACATGCTATTGGCTTATTCTGAAATCTACATAATAACCATATTATTGGAGACAGTATAGTCTGTAGACATAACTCATTGCTAATCCTGGCAATAAATTAATACATTTTCTCAGATGCCAGAACTAGATGATGTATCTATCATCTATCTCACTGAAACCTGTGAATCACTGACTTGTTTTCATGTCATGGTTGTTTTTAACTATGGGGTGTTTTTAACTATTTGTACTTGCTTCTAGGATTCTCAGAGCACATTGATATTAATAGTTTGCCTGGCTTTATTTTCATGCCATTATTTGATTCTCATTGGCTTGTACATGGATTTACTCTTTATTACACTGTATGAAAGCTAGCTGTAAAAATATGTCTCACCACACTTGTATTAAAAACTATCCATGTGTCTTCTCTATGTGCCATTTGCAATACTTCTGTATTCATTTGCTGTGTTAATATGAAGGAAATTGCTGTAGGCTATTCTTATCAGAAAAGCTTCTCATTGGAAAATAGAGAAATCTGTAAATCGTGTTCTGCTTTTTCTTAACTAAAAGTGGTCAACTACAATGAGATTGTTTTTTATTATACTGCTTTAGCAGCTACATAACTACTAAAAAATTTTAAGGAATTATATAGGAACTTACATTCCACTTTGAGCTTTTTAAGTTTTTCAGCTGTGGTATCTCTTCAATCCCTGGCCTTGGAGTAGCATAACCTGGGTTTGAATCCCAAGGTATCCTTTCTTAGCCTTGAGTGAGTTATTTCACTTCTCTCTGAACTTTAGTTTTCTAGTCTTTAATACTAACCACCTTTACAGAGTGTAGTGGTTCTCTTTGCTTTCTAGCGCTCCTATAAAAAAGAACCACATACTAGGTGGTTTAAACAACAGGAATCTATTGTCTCACAGTTCTTGGGCCTGGGAGTCTGAGATCAAGGTGTTGACAGGATTGATTCCTTTTGAAGGCTGTGAGGGAAATATAATTCATGCCGCTGCCCTGACTTCTGTTGCTTTGCTCGAAATATTTGTTGTACCATGGCATTTAGAAGCATCATCTGATCACTGCCTTCATCTACATATTATGTTCTTTCTGTAAGTATGCCTGTGTCCAAATCTCCCTTTTTATCAGTACACTAGTCATAATGGACTTGAGGCCACTTTTTTTTTTTTTTTTTTTTTTTTTTTTTTTTTTTTTTTTTTTTTTTTTTTTTTTTTTTTTTTTTTTTTTTAGTAGAGGCAGGGTTTCACCATGTTGTCGAGGCTGGTCTTGAACTCTTGATCTGGGGTGATCCACCCACCTCAGCCTCCCAAAGTGCTGGGAATCCAGACATGAGCCACTGCGCCTGACCCAGGGACACTCTTACGACCTCATCTTAACTAACTCCATCTGCAAAGGTTATATTGAAATCTGGTTACGCTCTGAGGTACTGGGGATGAGGATGTCAACATATGGATTTTTGTGGGATGCTGTAAAATTTATAACAGGGTATACATTAGATAATGGAGAGAATCATTTTATAACTCAATAAGTAAAATATAATCATCATAATGGTGGCTAACATATGCAGGACACACTATGCTACAAATTTACATGTATTTATTCTCACAAAACATTTGCCAAAGAGAAAATTGAAGATCAAAGAGGATAAAAAGTGATTCAGAAACTTGCCTTGGGTCATAAGGTTACTAAGTAGAAAAGCAGAATTTAAATCCACGGATCCTGGATACTTTTAACTACTGTATTAGTTCATTTTGAGACGGCTATTAAAAAAAATATATCCCAAACTGGGTAGTTTACAAGGAAAGAGGGTTAATTGACTTATAGTTTCACATGGCTAGGGTGGTCTCAGGAAACTTACAGTCATGGCAGAAGGTGGACGGGAGGCAAGGAACTTCACATGGTGTCAGGAAAGAGAAGAGTGAAGGGGGAAGAGCCCTTTATAAAGCCATCAGATCTTGTTAGAACTCACTCACTATCACCAGAACAGCATAGGAGAAACCACCCCCATTATTCAGTCCTCTCCCACCAGGGCTCTCCTTTGACACGTGGGGATTACAGTTTGTGATGAGATTTGAGTGGGGACACAGAGCCAAATCATATCAACTACCGTTACCTTTTAAGTTAATAATTCGTTAGAAAGCAGGAGTTGCAATTTTTGCTGATAAAATAGACTTTAAAGCAACAAAGATCAAAAGAAGCAAAGAAGGATATTACATAGTGATAAAAGGATCAATGCAACAAGAAGAGCTAAAGATCCTAAATATATACGTACCCAATACAGGAATACCCAGATGTATAAGACTTATAAAGAGACTTGGACTCCCACACAATAATAGTGGGAGACTTCAACATCAGTATTAGACAGATCAGTGAGGCAGAAAGTTAACATCGATATCCAGGACTTGAACTCTGATCCGGAACAAGTAGACTTAATTAACATTTATAGAACTCTCCACTTTAAATACACAAAATATACACTCTTATCAGTACCACATCACACCTATTTATAGGCTTAAATGAAATATTGGTTGGCTGCTTGTTAATTATTTTCTTCCCTCATTTTTTTTTTGTGTCTCTATTATTAAACACAATTACAAGCATACCCATTTTTAGACTGCATTCTAGCCCGGGCAATAAAGCAACACCTCTGTTCTCTCTCCCTCTTTCTCTTCCTCTTTTATGCCTTCATTCTTTTTTTTTTTTTCCTGTTGTTTTTTTTTTATTCTTTCTCTTTCTCTCTCTCTCATTCTTCCTCTAAAAAAAAAAGTTAATAATTCTTTAATGTAACCATTTTTGTGTGCTTTATGCCCACCTAGGTATTCAATAAATGAAAAGAGGCAGGAGAGAAAAACACAGTTGTTTCATTTATTCATACATTTATCTAAGAATTATACGTAACTACTGAAATATTGAGGTAGCTACCAGATTATTCCAGTGCAGAAGTAGATAAAAACATTTAGAAATGAAAAAAAAAAACAACTAAGTTTATCCAAAAGAAGTGGAAGGAAGAACTTGTTTATGAAAGATCATTACACTCAAGCACTAAATTTGGCTGAAATTTGACTAACTTTAAATTAATTAGGCTAAATTTGGCTCTAAGTTTTATAAGCACCAGTTTAAACACAGAAATCTACAGTATTTCGTATCTTTATTTTATGATAACAGGAAGATTAAACTAAGAAACAGATTTTTTTTCTAAACCTAATTCAACCGAAATGTGTATCTTTGACAATTGTGAGAATCCTTGTATTTAGAACACTTAATGAAAAACGCCGATGCCTTGGGTCACAATTTATTGAAAAATGTGGAAGTAATGTTTAAGTAGATAGACCATATCTTGAATTTTTTATGTTACCAGTGGACAGAATATGACATTGAATCATAACTCAGTGAAGGTAGTATTATCAGAGGGCAATTGAGTTACTATGAACTTGGGTCTCTACTTTTAAAAGCTCTGATTTAATTTAATGACAGAACTCAGAAAATTTAGATGAATGGGCTATGGATACATTAGAATTCCACTTTGACTTTTTTACATGAAGGTATTTCCAAGATTCTTCCATAGTAGTTACACTTTTAAAATACCCGTTGATTGAGAAGGCATGTTGTGATGTAATGACTTTGCCTGCCAAGATCAATAGGCTAAAACAAACCCTCCAAAATAGCACAATGATTTGATCTGCTCTATAGGCTTAATTAAAAAGGCCGGTGAATATTAGTTGTCACCTGCCAAAAACAATGATGTTAGTTCTGATGTAATTAATGCTGAGCTGCTCCTTTTTCTGGTTACTGACTAAAGAATTGTTAGGATGATTGCTAGGATAATAACCATTATGAATACAAAATTTAAGGATATGATTGTTTTCACTGCA